AGTAGCAGAAGCAGATTGAAGCGCGTTCCCATAGTATCCACCCTGGGCATTGACGTCCGCGCCTGCGTTAAGCAGTATCTTCACTATTTCTTCATTACTACTACGAGAAGCAGCAGCTTGAAGTGCGTTCCCGTACTCTCCACCCTGGGCATTGACGTCTATTTCTGTGTTGAGAAGAAATGGTAATAGTCCTGCAAGTCTTCTTGTAACAACCTTCTGTAGTACGAGCGCCTCGCATTCTTCTTCTTGTGCAACTCCTAGTTTTATATGCAGCAACCGTCTGACAACTTGATCATATCCTCTCATTGCAGCCTTCAATATGGCCTTTGGCTTATCGCTTATTACGGCCACTTTTACATGATGCCCTGCATTCCCCCACGAAAGTATATGCAGTGCTTCATCATAGTCTTGCACAGCTCTGGTAGATTGCTGATCTGGCATGAGCCCGACTATCTGACTGTAGCATGTCTTCTGGTCCTCGAGGCTCTCCTCTGGCCTTTCCTCAAACAAGAGAATTGTTGGGTCATTGACAACTGCTATGCCTGAAAACTTGATCTCGGCCTGATATGGCTCAATCGTCTCGTATCCTGATGGACGATTAGAGGAGGTCGCCTCTGTAGAAATTTCTTGTGCTGAAACGAAATAGGTAACGTCCAGTGTCGTAAAGGAACACATGATATCGAGGACATCGTTCATAGTGAATGTGTTTGATTGATTTGTTTGCGTCGATTGGAGCAGATATGCAACAGCCTCGTGAACAACCTTGGAGGTCGGCCTTTGGTAGTCTATGGTGATGTTTTTCGTGTCTAGAGGATTTGAAGACATACCAAGCAGGGCATATATCTTATCGCGTTCATCAGTTGCTTTGCTCCCATGAAACTTGTGCAGAAGGGTGTGTAAGTTGGGTGTTTGTGCCCACCAGGAACTTGACCGGAATGACTTTGCCATTATGTCTAATACAGGTTGACAGTGTGGCGGAAACTTTTGCTCTACAAAGGAGAGTGCGAGGACAAAAATTTCCGTTGGAATGGACCGAACGCCACAGCAGACATCGGCTCTGTGGGCTTTGGCTGCCTCTTGTAGGATCCAGACCCTTGTAAACCATTCTCGATTCAAAAGTTGCTTGATTGCGATGGAATGATCCTTCCAATTCCAGTCTTTGAACGTTTCTGGCTTGTAGTGATAATCAGGATCGGTGTTTCGAAATTGGCTGAGTGTTTCCATCAAGGCGATGATTTGCGGTGTCGCCTTGCCTAACCAGATGAGAAGTTTTTCAGCCTTTTCATATATTTGCCCCATCTGCTGGACTTGTTGACTCTGTTCCGCTTTGTTTTCTTGATTTATACAAATCGCGTCGATCCACAGAATGCGATCCCTATCGTGTAACTGCAGGTTTCGCAGTGCCGCATATAGGTTATCCGTTATCCAAAATGGCTTTCCATTAAGTTTTATACACTCCACAAGCTCGCTGCTACCCCATGTGTAGGAAAGAGCTTCGTATGGAAGGTGTAAGTTTTGCAGTGACTGCGGGGAGAGCTCGCATTCGAGTTCAGAGCCACTCCCTCTCAGTAGCTTCAAGAGTCGGAAATCCGAGTTCTCGGATTCAAGCGCTGTATAATGATACATATCCATGGATGAAAGCGGTATTCTCACGGTACTGGACGTAGCTGTGCAAATGCTGATGCGTGTGGAACAAGTGAAGACGAGTGTGTAGCGGGACAAGGGAGGATGTCCGAAAGGCACAGATAATACGAAAACCACTGCAGTATGCGTCGTCCTCTTGTCTCACATATACTGACAGGCTGACGCTAGACCAAACTCGTTAGGTGGGGTTATATCCTTGTGTAACGTAGCACAGATTCCAGCAAGGCTGCATTTGAGGAGAGAACCCAATCGCTAGGCACTGTATATGTATTCTATGCACATGACCGTAGTCTCTTTAGCCTAAGGGCCCTCCTTCTTCTTGTAGTACCTTTGCGACTAGGAAACAACGGCATACAACGAACAGTTCAAGGACTCAGGCCTAGAAGGGAAAGTGTAGCTATATTTCTTTTTCTTACTATGGACCGTTCACACTGTAGTAAAAAGTAAAGTAAACAAAACCTTGAGACAGAAAAAGTCATAGCTCGTATAAACCATTATTCACCGTGACAGCAAAACTTCCCCCCAGAAAAAAACGAATACAGTACCCTGAGATTAGTATTCAAGTTCTTGCTCTTTGGCAGCCTTATTGGCCCACTTTGAACCTACTTGCAGTCTTTGGTCGCATGATGATGGTTTTTTTTGGTGGCTGTACGTAACACACAGTGCGCTTTAGTGTAGGCTTCGCCGCTAAAAGGTATCGTCGGTAGGGTTGTCGTGATGATCTCAGCGTGTGCGTAGTATGTGCAGCTAGATATATTGGAGTAGCTTGGTTCTGCGGAAAGCAAATGGCTATGTCGAGCATCATGAATCAGTATGTTGATAGTGCCTAGTTAAGAGGGGGGAGAGAGAGAGTATGTGTGTGTGTGTGTGTGTGTGTGTGTGTGTGTGTGTGTGTGTGTGTATATTGTTTATGATACACATCAAAAGCTTCGATGTACTTTGAACTTTTTAGTCAGACCACGATGCTTTACTCAAAGCGCTTTACTCTGGGTAAGTGTCGTCATTGGCAATAGTGTCGATTTGTTTTTGGCTGCACGACTACTGCATGCAAGTATCTGTGCTGGAAGACAGTGACCAAAGTGCCCCGTATTCTCAACACTTTACTTTTTTTTTTTGAATAGTTGCTTTGGGACAATGGGAATTTCTGAGTGAGAGAGAAAAGCTATATAAGTCGACAGATTTCCGTATTCAAAATAGCACCATCGGCATCAGCTCTGAACAACCTCAGCCTTGAACAACTTCAGCTTTGAAAATCACTTCCAATCTCCCTGACGGAACCAACAATATGCGTTTCTCTACAGTCACGACTCTTCTTTTCGGCGGCATTGCAAGCGCGCAATTGGGCTCTGACATGCCTATAACGTGTCAGAATGGTACGTTTTCATGATCCTGCCCAAGTTGCAAATACTAATGCAAGCTCCTACTACTAGGACAAGCGCCCATTATCACGTGTGGCAATCCGGCTCCTGAAATGTGTGGTTGCACCTGCAGTGATGGAATGATGTTTAACCAGCCCAGACCTTCATTCCCAGGAAACACAACTCCACCTCCGATGCCAGCCGACCCAATGCCGCCTCCACCTCCACCTCCCCAAGTTGATCCTGAGCCGTACAAGTTTGCGTCCAAACCATGCCTAGGAAGAATCATCTACGACTGGAAAGCTATTGAGGGTGCCCATCAGCCTAATTCGCTCAAAAACGGTGAACTCGCAACCGACACAATTGACATTCCAGAAAATGCCATCTTGATAGTGACCGATAGGAACTTAAGATGCGAGATCTTTGAGGTATCAGTCGACAACAAAGTCCTAGGTGAGACGTATGGAACAGCTCCCCTCGACAACAAGCCGTGCGGAAATGCAGACCAGTGCATGAACAACAACGGAGGGGCGCACGGTTTCTTCTTCGTTCCAAAAGGTAAGTCAAGCCAAACCAGCTTCCGTGATCGGCTTCAGCTATATTTTGCACATACATATAAAAGGTTGGGGGCTAATTCTCGAAATCTTTAGGACGCCGTACAATCGGTACCAGATGGGTCAAGGTATCAGAGGCATGCAAGTATCATGCCAGTGGGTCTTCGCCTTACCAGATACGCGCAATGTGCTAGGTGGGCTAGTTTTGAGCTTGGGCATGGCGGAAAGGCATCTTTGATGCAGGGCTGGTTGATGCGGAGACTTTGGGGTTACTTGATAAGTAAGGGTAATGTGGGGTTGACTGTGGGACAGAAGACGAATAGCTTGTAATTGATAATTAAACCGAACATTGCATATGATTCATGATCTGTATTGCAGTCATGTTTGTAGTGGCGCACATTGTTCGTCTAGACTTGTCGTTTCCGCCTACCGAATGGGTCCCGCCGTTTCAGTGTAATGATGTGCTTTTGCTTGTCGTGTTCAAAGGCATTTGGCGCCTCAAAAAGCCTTTCAGGGCAAGCCGTACAGAGTCAATACGTCGGGTAGATGGCCAGCGCAGAATTACATGGGTCCGTCACCCACGTTGAAAAGGAAAAGAAAGAAAGAAAAAAGAAGGGTTTTTGAAAACAGGCGCTTATACTTTTCGTACTCGCTCCTCGTAGGCTGTCCATGCGGCTTTCCTGTAGCGTTCTGCTTCTGACTTGCGGTCTTGTGCTCGGACAATACCACGCCCGACAATGATGATATCACATCCTTGGTCGTAAATCAATTTATGGGGGGTGTTGTACTGCTGGCCAAGGGCGTCGCCTAGCTTCTTGCCCTCTTGACCTGGAGGCGGTAGTTGACAACCTGGAGTCATGGTAATAAAATTGTCCTCGGGCTCTGAATTCAAGCTGCGCTGGGCAATGAAGCCCATGACAAAGTCTCGATGGCTCCGGGCAATCTGAACCGTTGTCTTCTGATATTCGGGCGTCATGAGGTGGCCCTCGGAGCTCATTTCAGCAAGCAAAAGGAGCGAACGCAGAAACGGTGGCGGGCCGAGACGGATAAGCTCTGTGGCAGTATCGAGATTGAAGACGTCTTCTCCATTGTCGTTGGGTTCGGGACGGGGTGATATGCTTTCTGTGCGCATGGATATGGAAGTCGTGACGCTCACCACACTTTGCTTCCTGTCGGGAGCGCGGATGCTCAGTCTTCTCTCTTCGCCCTCCATCTCGATTGGGGACTCGATGGTGAAGTCGGGGTTTTTCATGTCGTCATCAAATTGGTCGTCATCTTCGTCGTCGCCTGCTCCGTTTACCTGCCGTGTAGCGGAAATCTCGGTGTTTACAGAAGTGTTGTACTTGGCAATGGTTGTTTCGGCAGCTTTCTCGAGTGCGGTAACGATGGCGGGACCGGGCAGAACGTGGGCGTTTGTGATTTCGGCCCACAGGGCGATGCGGTGGTGGCCAGAAGTGTACTGCTTCTGTACGGTTTCTGGTATGGTGTTAGCAGCTCGTCTAGACGGCAGGGTAGCGAACAAACGAGTGGTGGACAAACATACCTCCAATATCAGCGAATTTGCGGTCTTCGAAAATGAGGAAGGATTTGCGCGCGGCGACCTCTCTTAGGGCCTGGGCTGTCCTGTCGGACCAGTCGGTGACGATGTCGCAATGTGTTTTGAGCAGGCAGATAGAGTCGCCCACTTCTTCGGCGAGTTGCAGCAGTTCTGCAGAGGTCTCGACATCGGCCGAGAGGCAGAGATTGGTCTGCTTGGCGGCTATCAAACTAAGCAGGTATGAGGCCAGAGGACCGGCGGAGGACAACGAGGCCCGCGCACGGTAGGTGCTGGTGAGGGTGAAATGGGGGGACATGGCGACGGAGAAGACGGGCGCGGTTGGGGTGGCCAGTCGCGTGTTTTGTTCGGTGGTGAGTCTTGTGCAGACTGTGGGCGCGGGGTGGTGAGGGGCAGCGACAACGGCAGCAGGCAGGGAACGAGGGAAGCCGCGAGCTGGACGTGTGATTATTTTATAGAAGAAGAAAAAAGGAAGGGAAGATGTCGAGGAAAAAGAAAGAGAGGGAGGGGAGTAAAAGAGTCAAAAGAGCAGACGAGGGAGAGATCAAGTGAGGGGACTTGCAGGTAGAGCCAAAGCCAAAGCCAAAGCCAAAGCCGAAGCGGACCAGCAGGTGGTCAAGGGAAAGTCGACGGCCGGGTCGGCCCAGTCGGCCAGCAGGCAGTCAGTCAGGCGTGTCGTGTCGTGTCGTGTCGAGGCGTGGATACACGCATACATACTTACGTATGTACATGATGCATCCGTCCATCCATTCATCCACCCACCCATACGCGAGAGGGACAAAATTAATTGCGCCTGTTCCTGGCGCGGCCCGCTGGCCGCAGATGCTGGCTGGGCCTCTGCAGCCTGCGCCCCCCCGACAGACGCCCTGTAGACGCAGCTATGCACAGCACTGCCTGCGCATTGGTCCCCACCCTTGGTTCCATCCAGGCCTCGCCTTCTGATCCCCCAGTCCATCACCACCCAGCCTGCCCTGCTCCGCCGTCGCCGCGCTCGTGTCGGTGAGCGGGCATACACGCGCGCTTCCAGCCCATCATGCTCGCCCTCGCCTACCCCGAGCCACCCGTCCATTTGCCCGAAGCTGTGTATTGCTCTACCTGTCCTGCTCCCGCCCGGCACACGCCGTTAGCCGACTGGACCGCCGATACATGTACACCTAGTACATAAACCATGTACATACATACATACATACATACATACATACATGCTGTACATGCTCAATCGCTTGGCATCCTCTCCCCTTACTGCGACTTTGGACCCTATGCCTCAGAAGCATGCGGACTAGCAGATCTCCTTGTCCCTTTCATGTCCCCTTCTCTTAACACGGTACACTAAACCATGCCGGGTGATCAAGGACTTCTCCGCACACGCATCTTGCACATACACACACCACATACGTCAGTTTGCGCCTCGTGGCAGAAAAGGGGAGCGAATGCGAGTTTCAGGACAGGTGCTGGCGTCGCATTCAAAGCTACCACAGTTAAGCCTGCTGTCTTGCATCTGGATATGTAAAGCACGGACCATTTGCCATCTAACCGCTTTCGGACCACTCACCACAGCTTGCCCCCCAGCAGTGACCAGTGAAGCTCTCAAAGCCCGACTTCATCGTCATGCAATTCCAAGGTTGAGGAGCCAAATAGCGAGCATGTTGTAGGTGAATCGCCGCTCTTGGAAGCCGACTTCACCTAGTATCACACACACAAGATTTAATTTCCTGAGCTAGTGTTCAAGTTCTAATTCACCACGCCGTGTTTAGCCCACAACAAACACTCACTTTGATTCTTGTGACTCACTTGCTATCCTCTCTTCTCTCTTCCATTGCACTCAGCAAATTGCAGCTCTTAACTACTTTCAACGTCAACATCATGCCACCCAAAAAGGACACTGCCGGCGCAGAAGCTAACGAGCTTCTCGTAGGCTTCGCTGACAAGGAGACTAAGCTTATTGCCGCCGCGTACCTGAGCTGCACGGGCCCTGACAAGGTGAGTGCACGCTACCTTTTGCTGGTTCAACCCTCTGCAGGGACGTGTGCTAACAACATACATATAGTTCGACTATGACCGCATGGCCGCGCTCACCAAGAACACAGCTGGCTCGCTCAAGAAAATGTGTAAGTGACTTCCACCCACACCCGTTCGCCTAGTAATCCCTGGCACGCGCTAATCCGATACCTCCCAAACTCAGGGCCTCCCGTCAAAAGAAAAGCCATGGAGAGCCACCCGTCCTTTGCCAAGTTCCTCGGCCAGTCTAACGGCGACGCTACTACAGCATCTACCTCTGAGGCCCCAAAGCTTACTACCGCAGCTCCCAGGTCCAGGAAGCGCAAACCCGCAGATGAGGAGGCGTCTGAGGAACCCACAAAGTCCGAGCCCGACACCTCGGAGCCCGACAAGAAGCCAACCAACAAGTCTGCGCCTGCTGCCAAGAAAAAGGCTCGCGGTCGTCCCAAGAAGCAGGCCAAGATTGAGTCTACCGACGAGGAAAACTCCGCTGACGGTGGCGATGGCCGTGGTGAGTTTACGTCGAAGAGAGCTGTACAGCGTTGGCTGCAGAGTACTGACTAACGAGTAAGACTCCCAAGTCGAGTATGACTAGTCGCGTTTGATGCAAGCGGCTCATGTCTTGTCACATGCTCTTGATCACTGGCTTTGCTACTGCAACATGTGCCGTTGGGGTATGCTGTGGTGGATATTCATCGCATAGCGTTTCTCAACGTGCGGTATCTTTGACTGATGTACCATGTTTGGGTCTATTGAGACCGCGACAGCAGTGTACATGTGCGGGTTTTTCCAATGTCACATCCATCATCTCTTGAAGATGCTTTGGACCATCGGGAATTGGGTTTATCACACCTTTTTTTTCTTGTCTACTCTGAACGTGGTATGAGCGTTCAGTAGTATCGAGGTTCTAGTGTAATCGGTTTTTCACTTCTTCACCTTCTTCTTTTTTCAACTCTAGGGGAACGTCAGACATGGAAGGAAAAAATTCAAAAGTTCAATAGTGCAGTCCACGAATTTGTTTCTTCTCATCTGTCCAGTGTTTACTCCAAATGTGTGTAGGGTATTATGCTTCCCAACTTTTTCTCTTCTCATATCCATATCGTCTCTCCCAACATGTCAATGCCCATGTATACTGGAAAAACATTCATTGCATACAGCACTCACAATCAACAGAAAACTCCTCCTATGAAAACCCTAATTTCCCTTGTTTCCTCTCTTTCCACCCCTCTTCTTCCTCTCCACATGTCCCAAAAGCGTCTTCTTCACATCACCCAAACTCCTCTTATTCTTGCTCTTCGCCTTACCCAACGTCATCAAAAAGTTCTTCTTGCGCGCCTTGTCCTGGTTCGTCGTACTCTTGCCCTCTGCATGTCGCTTCTCCTTGCGCTTGCCCGCCTGCGACATGTGGTTCGTCTCGCGGTCTTGCCTGGCCATTGCGATCTTCTCTTCCTTGGTGTTCTTCTTGCCCAGCGACGCCGCCAGTTCAATCGTTTCCGCCGTAATGGCTTCGTCGGCGTGGCGCGCGGCGAGAAGTTGGGCCCGCTTGTGCGAGGCGAGAGATGAGGTGATTGTTGACGAGGCGCGTAGGGCTTGCAGTTGTTTTAGGTCGGCGGGAGTGAGAATGGTAGTAGTGAGAAGTTTGGAAATGGACTTTGCTTCTGGCTCTTCGCTCTTCGAGGCTTCCTTGCCGTCGGCTGACGGGCCGGGTGTGGGTGTTGCACTGCCGAGTTTCGCCTTCTT